TCTCATTCTTGACTTTAATCCCAGTTCTAGTAGTCCCCCTTATTTGTCCAACTTTTATAATCTTTTCTATTTAAAGTTTCAAAGGCGTGAAGAAAACTTTTGGAAAATTTGATGAATTATTGTTTCAAACAAAAAGCAAGTTTAATTTTTTTAAACATCAAAACAGTAAGTAAAATATTTGATAAGAAAAGTATTCTTGCAATTGTGCCATTCAAACTTAAATGTTTAGCAAATAAGATTGCATTTTGAATAGGACAACATTGAAAACAATGATTTTACTGTTTGAAGGCTTTCTCTGAATTATTAATAATTTTTTCAATGATATTTTTAAATAGTCAAACCATAATTTTTTATCATTATTCGTCATGTCTTTAGTTTGTAGAACGTTTTTTTAGACAATCAAATTTTCTAATCCCTGCAACCTGATGTTGTAAACCGTTGATATTTTAAAATTAGATTATTTGATTTAACATAGCTCATAGCTCAAAATATCTAAGGTCTACGGCATTTGGTTGCAATGAAAATAGGGGTTATAAAATCAGAGTTTGTGGCAATGATTCATTTCCATTCAAAGACTAAAAACACCTATTAAGTTTTAAGTTTTAAAACTTAATTTGATTAGGGTATGTAAATTATATTTTTTAAGGAAATTAANAAGATACCTTTATAGCATAAATATAGCAAGATACCTTTATAGCATAAATATAGCAAGATACCTTTATAGCATAAATATAGCAAGATACCTTTATAGCATAAATATAGCAAGATACCTTTATAGCATAAATATAGCAAGATACCTTTATAGCATAAATATAGCAAGATACCTTTATAGCATAAATATAGCAAGATACCTTTATAGCATAAATATAGCAAGATACCTTTATAGCATAAATATAGCAAGATACCTTTATAGCATAAATATAGCAAGATACCTTTATAGCATAAATATAGCAAGATACCTTTATAGCATAAATATAGCAAGATACCTTTATAGCATAAATATAGCAAGATACCTTTATAGCATAAATATAGCAAGATACCTTTATAGCATAAATATAGCAAGATACCTTTATAGCATAAATATAGCAAGATACCTTTATAGCATAAATATAGCAAGATACCTTTATAGCATAAATATAGCAAGATACCTTTATAGCATAAATATAGCAAGATACCTTTATAGCATAAATATAGCAAGATACCTTTATAGCATAAATATAGCAAGATACCTTTATAGCATAAATATAGCAAGATACCTTTATAGCATAAATATAGCAAGATACCTTTATAGCATAAATATAGCAAGATACCTTTATAGCATAAATATAGCAAGATACCTTTATAGCATAAATATAGCAAGATACCTTTATAGCATAAATATAGCAAGATACCTTTATAGCATAAATATAGCAAGATACCTTTATAGCATAAATATAGCAAGATACCTTTATAGCATAAATATAGCAAGATACCTTTATAGCATAAATATAGCAAGATACCTTTATAGCATAAATATAGCAAGATACCTTTATAGCATAAATATAGCAAGATACCTTTATAGCATAAATATAGCAAGATACCTTTATAGCATAAATATAGCAAGATACCTTTATAGCATAAATATAGCAAGATACCTTTATAGCATAAATATAGCAAGATACCTTTATAGCATAAATATAGCAAGATACCTTTATAGCATAAATATAGCAAGATACCTTTATAGCATAAATATAGCAAGATACCTTTATAGCATAAATATAGCAAGATACCTTAACATATTAAATATTTCTGCTTCAAACATAATTTGTCCAATCGCTAAATTTTTTCAACCTGATGGTGTTAGCCTTTGATATTTAAAACTTAGAATATTTGATATAACCGAATTCACAGTTTCACATGACTGAGGTTTAGCTATAGAGATTAGGAAAATCAGAGTTTGTGGCGAAAATACTACTTTTTTTCTTATAAAATGTGGAGGCAATCTTTTAAAATCAAATAAATAAAATTTTAAATTTTTATAGACTTATAAGCGAAAAACTTTTTGTTTTTGGTTTCATGAATCATACTTTCTTTTACTTCAATTGCATGGTTTTATTGTTCAAACATTTAATCTAAAATAAAAAATTTGAAGTATTTTTTGAGCCAAAATATGTATATGCAAAATGTATTTTTTTTACCTTTAAAACTCATTTCTTGTATAATTCACTTATGCATTTTGATATATTTCTAAGTGCTTAATTAAACATACTTAACTATAAAAAGAGAAATTTTCAACATTTTCCCCAAAAAATTAATTTGACATAAAATTATTATTATTAGATTTAAGTCGAATACAAATTTAAATATCTTATTTTTAAATTTTGAGATGCCCCCCTTTTCGCCCTTATAATCGACCTTTTGTTGTATTATGTCCATTTAACAATTACCTTTTTGTTTCATGTCATATTATTTGTACGTTTTAATAATTAATGATCATTAATTAAAGAAAACTAATTATGATCATCTATAAAAACATTTTTAAAATCAGACTATTTCCGACATTATTTTTATTTCATTCATTAAATATTTTTATTTGTTAGCTTTTGTTAGTTTTCTGTCAAGTTAAAAAACGTTAAATATAAATGAATTGCAACCCCCCCCCCTTCCTCCCCCCAGTCTCCTCTCCCCAACAACTTTATTCTGTAAAATTCTTTGACAATAAAATATCCAATTTCAAGAAATCCAAGCAGTTTCGTACAGGTTACCTTTGGAGAAAAATTGTCTCAATTTTTTCTCATTACGACTTTTGTTAACCTAGATTCTTTTTATGGCCTGCTAGTAATGTCTTCTTGTGACATTAATTAAGTAAACAAATTCAACTTCAAGACTCGACAAGAATTGTAAAGGTTACAAGACCTGTGGTGTTTATCTAGAAGTGCTGAGTGTAATAAAAGCAATGTTAGGCGAGTGACTTAAGTGAAGAAAGAATGAATTTGTTTGAACTAAAAACAATGTAGTTTGCTGAAAAATGGAACTAAATGTTGAAGTAGAGGTCTGATATTGTTCTCGCTTACCCGAAACCGTCGGTGGGGGGGGGGGGGGCTATTTATACCTTTAAGCACTTTAAAGGGTCAATATTATTTATATTATTACTACTGATAGTACATTTCAGATAATATGAAATGTACTATGTAGTAATAATATAAAAAATTTAGCTGTTTTTCAACAAGAAAATTCTTATACTGGATGTGTTTGTTTTTCTTTATATTTGGTAAATTTTGAAGTTTTTACAAAAAATAAATTTTTACCAAATACGCAAAATTCTATTTTTATCATTTCATTTTTGATTTTTTTAGAATGACGATTTACCGCCCCCTCCTGAGCATGAGCTGGATAGGTTTGGTCCCCCCGTTCTAACACCGGGCGGTGAAGGCGATGCCGCCGAACGAGGAGGCGATTATGTGGATTATTTCATGCCCTCAAACACACTAAAGAAAAGCCTTAGGTGAGTCGATTTTCTCCAGTCCTGGAATCTGCAAGATAAAATTCTAAATAGAATAGAAACTTTGAAATATTAAAGGTTTACACATGAAAATTTAAATAAAGATAGAAAATGCTTGAATTCAGATTTCCGGATTATAACTTGCTAGCGTTGCCCGTAAAATAAAAAAGATATTGAAAAAACAACAAATTTCAGCCAATTTGGCGGCTCATAGCTAACATATACATACATACAAATATAAGCAAAGAGCTTTATGATTCAGATTTTTGTTCACATGCCGATACGACTTTTTGGCTTTGCAACACTCAATTGAATTTTGCAAATTAGTTTTTTCAAATAAGAATTCAAAGACTACTTTAACTTATCACAAGTTCTTTAGAAAATGGAGGTCTGCAAGATTTTTATTTGTTTCTTATCGTGTAAATGTAGTTTTAAGTGATCCAATTTACAACAGTATACCCTTGAAACCTTAATCTGATCAAAAATGAGAAGATAACCTTGTTTATAGCACTCACACATTTGTTATGTCTGACAATTTCTCCATTTAATTAAAAAAAAAGAATTTCAGAAATCTTTCAAACTAACATTGGCAAAAAAACGAGTCACGGAAGTTCGTAGTAAGATTTTGATTCCACTAGAGACAACCGGAGGGAAATCTTTTTCACTGGAGGGGTTTGAAAAAATGCTTTTTACAATTCAAAACTTTACGCAGGGTGATTTACATTCCACTGGAGGGATTCAGATTTCCTTCCTGGGGGGTTATAATTCCACTGGAGGGATTCAGTTATCCTTCCTAGGGGTTTATAATTCCACTGGAGGGATTCAGTTATCCTTC